TAAAATAGTCTCTAAAAGCTCAACTACACCCAGAAACCATTATACGTGCCATCAATGTCACCATGGATAAAGTTGGTCATTCCTTTGCATAAAAACAGCAAAGAGGGGCTGGAGCAATAGTACAGTGGGTAGGGCGTTTGCCTTGCATGCGGCCAACCTGGGTTCGATTCCCAGCATCCCATATGGTCCTCTAGCACCGCCAGGAGTAATACCTGAGTGCAGAGCGAGGATTAACTCTTGGTGTCACCAGGTGTGACCCAAAAAGCAGAACAAACAAACAAACAAAAAACACAACAGCAAAGAATAAACTGCACTGAACAATCTTCACCTTAGGGATGCTAAAATGTAAACAAGCCAAACCAAAAGAGTGAGTCCTAGCCACAGGGGGGCAGCCCAGGGTACAGATGCTGACAGGAAACTAGAAGCTCTGTCTTTTTGTCTGCAGGTGGCCCTGCGCCCTTGTAGCTGTGGGGACATGAGCAAATCACTTGCCTTTTCTGTACCTTGATACATTCAGCTGATCTTAAAAATGCCTGTGTCTCAATATCTCAATACTAATTGGGGTTCTCTGTTACAGTATTTAACATGTACCTAGCACTTATTACCTGTCTCATTGCTGCTATTACTGTAAATCGGGTGTAAGAGAATCACAGATTTAACAAATCTTAATTGGCTTCCTTTAATCTGAATGAGTTCACCTAGATGGAGTTGCCAAACCTTTAGACATTGTTTGAAATAAGCGGTAATGGTTTTGTCTCCTAGATGCCCCAGCTCTCTAGAAATTAAATGAAATCATCTTCTAAAATGGAGTCAAAGCATTTTCTTCCCCTGAAGAATCGCTCAGAGCCCAAAGGAGCCGATGACTCAAACACAATGGGTGAGAGTTTGCATATTGCTTTGCATGACATTTGCATGCAACCAGTTCATTTTCGCTTGAAGTGAAAATCCGCCCACCATCTGCTCCTTTCCTAGTCTCTTATGATCCCCTAGGTGTTGAGTTGGCTGTCTCTGCCTGGGAAAAATGAAGCTGCTAAAATGCAGTAAGCAGTTTCAACATGTGATTCTCTAGCCAAAGAGAGCAGGGAAATTCTGTCTCAGTTCGGCCCCATCATCGGGCATCTCTGTGGACCATGCTACTATGGGTGCGGGATGGGAGCACTGACAAATACATCAGGCAGCATCTGATCTACTCAGCATCTGAGTATAAGATAGTGCACCTGATGGTAAACCAGATGACTCACCACTCTCTTAAGTGACTTAAACGATGGTTTCTGACCACCAGTGACTTACAAAATCAAACCAGAGCAGAGCTTTTCCAAGTGTGAACAAGTATGCGGTAGTGAACCTTCAACAAAGACTGGCTTTCACCCGGAATAAAGGTAAAGGTAAAGGCCCTCCCGTTGTTCGTCGATTTGCTCGAGCGGGCCCAGTAACATCTCCATTGGAGACTTTGTTGTTACTGTGTTTGGCATATCGAATACGTCACGGGGAGCTTGCCAGGCTCTGCCGTGCGGGCGAGATACTCTCGGTAGCTTGCCGGGCTCTCCGAGAGGGGCGGAGGAATCGAACTCGGGTCGGCCATGTTGGCTGCGTGCAAGGCAAATGCCCTGAATACTGTCAGGATTTTCAGGTAAACACATGACAACCAGTATCTGGCAATTTAAAAAAAATCATTTAATTAATCAGGGCCCTAGTGCTAGAATCTTCTATCAGCTCCAAGCATTTATTTAAATTGAGTCATCAGATTCTTGAGTACTTGTCCAAAGGTGATAATGGACCCACATTTTGATTAAAGCTTAGTTAGCTGTCATTTCTTGGAAATAACTGAATATTTTTATAATCACAAACATCTATAAAAATATTAGTATATGAACTAGACAATGGCCTTACCAGGTTGGATCAATTATCTATTTCTCATGTGAGAGCCGAGAAGATCTTAATAAGGTGCATCCTGTAAATTAGACTTTGAATAAGGCATATAAACATCAAGCCATGTCCATAAAGCATACTACACCCACACGTAGCTGGAGGACCTAGTTAGCCATAAGGTCCCAGATTTGGGGTTCAAGTAGTGGGACACATGCCTTGCATGTGTGAGGCCCCAAGTTGGACTCCTCAGCATTGACAGGTGCAGCCTGACCCACCTTGAATCTTATATTGGTCATAAATCCCCAAATTCCCACCAGAACACTGTAAATATCATTGAAATGATTAGGTCAGGGCAACTGCCTTGCACGTGGCAATGTGGGTTTGATTCCCGGCATTGCATATGGACCCTCGAGTACTACCAGGAGTAGAACCAGAAATAACCTCTGAGCATCACCAGGTGTGACCCACAAAACATAATAATAATAATAATAATAATGTCATAGCATTGCTATTTAACCACTGGGTTTGGAAAGGGTAGCTTTGCAGCTGTGTTAAGTGCCTTTAGAAGGTACCTGCCACATTTTGCAAATTGGGAGTACCGTGTAAAATATAATACACAGGTGGGCATTCAGTATCTCACTATACCAACATTTTCAGAATCAATGTTAAGATAAATACCCAAAAGATAAGTCATGTTACTCTTCACTTTTCCCAAAATGTGATTCTTCATGGGATAATCTTTACAATTCCAAACATTTTAGTGATCATTTGGCTCAGTACCACTATTTTTATAGATGAAGAAGCTGAGATACGGTTTGAAAGCTGTCACCTCCTTTTTCTTTAAAATAAAAAAAAGGTACCCCCACCCCAGCCCCCACCTCCCCACTGCTGCCTGGACAGGCCTGCACAGTGGAAGGGAGGGTTAGGACCTGGCCAGGCTAAACTGCCATGAAACTGTGAGTGGAGAGAGGAGTCTCTCAGTCCGGAAATCAACCCAGGGAATTCTGGACATGGAGGCTGGGTCATCTCCTGAGTCTGGCTCTTCAGGGCAGAGGGCACAGGGGTTCCCCCAAGGTGTGATGTGGCCCTGCCTCAAGCCACTTGAGCATGCATCCACCTGCTTGGGCGAGCTAGGAAGGCAGACTCCTCACAAAGGACACGCCAGCAGGCTGAAAGCTCCATGTGGGGCTGCACGTAACTGCGGCGCCTAGTTCAGAGAGCAGCTGCCTTTGGATCCATGGGACCGCCTGGCCGCACACTCTGCAGACAGAACTGTCTCCTGGCGTGTGGGCATCCAAATAGGCCTGAAGCTGGGGAAAGGAGGGGGTCCTTGCATTCAGGAGGCTCAAATCCCGACACAGCAAAGCTGAAAAGGAACAGCAGATGTTTGGGTCTACCTTCATCTAGGCTGTGTCTGTGTCCCGGGAAGGCTGATCCTCAGGACCCCTATTCCTTGGCTTCTCACAGCCAAGCTGAGCTGAACTCAGCCAAATCCTGGGGTGTGGTTCTCCAGGTACAGAGGTACAGGCACAACTCTCTGGGGACAGGAAAGGAGACAGACGTGTGTGTGTGTGTGTGTGTGTGTGTGTGTGTGTGTGTGCGCACAGACCTCAAGGAGGGTGAGGGGAGCAAAGATGCTGAGAAGGCGTGTGAGCGGGGAGCAGAGAAGCAAGCATGACCATCCCCCAGCTCCTGGGGTGGTGTGTGTGTGTGGGGTGGGGGGGAGGTGTTGGCGGGATGGAGGAAGCACAAAGCCTCCATGGGCTGTGCTTTCCCAACACAGTAGCAGCCTATGGCAAAAGGTCCAGCTTCAGACCCTCGCACTGTGTCCCCAAAGGGGTACAAACGTGTGCTCCTCACATGAGAACATGTTTTCAAAAAGCTCATAATTAAAAAATTCCCCAAGGGCTAGGGAAAGAGCTCAAGAAGATGTGCTCAGGCTCTGCCTGCCAAGGACCCAGGTCGGTGCCCTGTACCACACAGTCCCCCAGCACCGTGGGGAATAAGCCCCCAGCACAAAGCGGGGGTGACTCCCAAGAACCAGGTTTGGGCCCCGACACGTATATTTGTACAGATCCTGATTAAAGTGAGACAGTCTTGGTTATGAAATGAATACACACGAATAATGCAAATAACTAATCCCTGGTGATTTGCATTGTCCCTGGCTGTGCTGGAGAGAGGAAGGGTTCCAGCACAATCTTTGGGCTGGCTTTCCTTTCAGTCAAACTCAGAAGTGGCTGCATCCTTTAAGGGTGCAAAGGGCACAACTGGGACATTTTGGGAAGGACCAGGGAGAAGTCAGAGAGCTGTGGAACAGCTGGAGAGTTCTCCCAGGTCCTCCAACCACTCTCTTTATTCAAATCACTTTCCTTCCCAGAGCAACCCCATTGTTAGGCCCCTGGGAAGCAGTTACTGGAGAGTAGGTTCTAAAGGGAAAAAACAGGGGCTGGAGTATAGTGGATAGGGTGTGGATAGTACAGTGGATAGGGTGTTTGCCCTGCCCGTGGCCAACCTGGGTTCAATTCCCAGCATCCCATATGGTCGCATAAGCACCACCAGGAGTAATTCCTGAGTGCAGAGGGAGGAGTAACCCCTGTGCATCGCTGGGTGAGACCCAACAAGTCAAAAATAAATAAATAAATAAAAATGAAGGGAGAAACCAAATACTTTGGACAGGTTCACTGGGCTGCCCACAGCTGCTCCCAGGGACAGCCTTAGAAGGCTGGCTTTCCTGCTCTTGAGATACAGTTAAGAAGCCATTCATGCTGGGGTTTCAGTCATACAATATTCCAACACCCATCCCTCTACCAGTGTACATTTCCCACCGTCAATCTCCCACTCAGCCCCCAACCTGCTCTATAGTAGGCTTGTTCTCTCTCTCTCTCTCTCTCTCTCTCTCTCTCTCTCTCTCTCTCTCTCTCTCTGTCCCTCCCCCCCTCTTCTTTTGGGTATTATGGTTTCTCTGGATATTCTTTAATACATCTCCATTCAGATCTGAAAGATTTTTTTAAGTCTTTAATACCTAATTCCCAGCAGAAATATTTTATTTCCAATTATTTAATTTGTTTAAAAAAAAAAACAGGATGTGTCAGGAGGCACTGGAAAGGGGAGTTGACGGCTGAGCAACATACCTGCTATCCCCAGCGTTCGCCACGTACAGCTTGCCCAAGAGGCAGACCACGATGAGGGCTGTACAGCCACCAGATATGTTATAGGAACTCCTTTCGCGTTCAATCTGGAGGTCCTGGAAAAGAAGGCGAAGTTAGTGGTGGACTTGTACGCGCACTTGTACCAAAGGCTTTCTCCGCCTCGCTCTTCTGACATAGCCTGGAGAGTTGAAACACACTTAGTTCCAAGAAGAGCAAAGGCCCATCAATGCTTTTTCTTTCTTTTTTTCCCCATCACCTCCTTCTGGAGAGCAGAGTGGCAGAAGACTGTCTCAGTTTGAGATCATCCAAGGCCATCCTCAAGCCAGAGATGGAAAACCAGATAACAAGCAGATATACCAGACAAAAACTGCAGCACTGTAGCACTGTCCTCCCGTTGTTCATCAACGTGTTCGAGTGGGCCCAGTAATGGTCTCCACTGTGAGACTAGTTGTTACTGTGCTTGGCATGTAGAATACGTCACGGGGAACTTGCCAGGCTTTGCCGTGCGGGCAAGATACTTTTGGTAGCTAGCTGGGCTCTCCGAGAGGGATGGAGAAATAGAACCTGGCTCGTCCGGCCACGTGCAAGGCAAATGCCCTATTGCTGTGCTATCACTCCAGCAAAAACAAAAAGAATAAAATGAAAACTGCAGTCACTAAGTAGCACAATGTATGGAAAACTTAAGACTGAAGTGCATTTGCGAAAATCCAACAGAGAAGCTGCTAATGCCAAGGACCTGGAGCTGATCAGTGCTTGTCATCCCAAGGATGCCAATGAAGAGCTTCTTCCCATAGAGATCAGGCCTCAAAGGGCACTGTCCCTTCTTAACATAGGCAGGACTCATTCCTTGATGCACCCATCAAAAACATGTTTCCAGACTGGTCTGATGCCCAATTCACACAAGGACACACTGAATTACAGCTCCCCTCAGGCGAAGCTTCCTGTGTCAGGCAGTTCTCAAGGCCTAGTGCTTCATGCCGAGATGCTTCTCATCCTTATAACAGCCTCATTAACCTCCCTGTTCAGATCCAGGGAAATGGGTAACTTATTTCACTTGGCGGGAGCCACACTCTGAACTAGTTCTTTTCCTCCAAAACCTGCAACTTGCCAATGAATGCGGCTTCCTCAAGAAAATAAATGAGGGCTCAGCACCCCTACTGAAAGAGACCCATCACTCTGAAAAACCTTGCATTATTGAGAGAGCAAGGGTTCCTGTGACCTCTGCTGAGTTGCTGAAAATTAACTGCATGCTGCCAGAATATAGCTGGGCACTGACAGTCAACTACTGAGGCCGAAGGTGGGAGGCTGAAATCTGGGTACAAAAGACAAGGCTGGTGATTTGGACCATGGGGTGATCTAAGGCTGAGGCACCTTGGTGATTCTTAGAAAATAGAATGAGGGCAAGAGAGACAGTATGGAGGGTTTCAATCTCCTGCTACCATACATGATCTCCTGAGCCTGTCAGGACTGATCCCTGAGTACGGAGTGCTCAGGAGAAAGCCCTGAGCACTGCTGGATATGACACAAAAATTGACAAATAAATAAAAGAAAGAAAATAGAATTAGAGCTTCAAGGCTTCACTTAGGCTCCTTGAACAAAGGAGGGCTAGCTGGTCATTCCAGCACATGCCAATCACTGCTTTGCTCCGCCAGCCTGCGGTGGGAATTCCAAGCTAAAGAAATCATCAGGGGAAACTGCAAAAAAGGGTCTCAGTCGAGGGTCTAGGCTAGGAAGGCAACAAGGTCACAAAGACCATGGACAGAGGGAGAAACTGACCTATTGAGGGCAAACAGGGAAGGAGTTAGGTGAAGGGAAGAAGGAGGGATGGGTTTGGGTAGGCATGGGGCTGGGTGGCGGGGAAGTGTGCATGCGAGATGCAGCTTAGAAAGGCTGCAGTAAGTCATCATAACAGCGGAACAAACTTGAGGCCGACCTCCAAAGACTACATTAAAGTTTTAGAATTGACAAAGACTGTGAATATGTGCATAGGACTGAGAAGATGGTGTTCGTGTATACACTCAACAGGTCTTCTAGATGTTTCCCACCTCCTGCCCCCTCCCCACCAGGCCTGAGGGCTGGGGCCGAGACCTTTCACTATGGATGGTCCACACTACCCCAGGCTGTATCAGTGGGGGTTATGACGAGGACAGGGCAGAAAGATGTTTTAAAGTGCCCGTTTTTTCAAATGGTCCCGCACCCCTTTTCCCATGCCTTCCCCTGAGAAAAGTTGCTCCCTGACTGATGAAACAGAAGTTCCGTCATGGGCTCAGTGAGCTCATGAATCAGCACCCCAGCATCAATGAGAAAGTGGCCAGCTGAAGTGAATGAACCGTTATCCGAACCCAGACAGGAAAGGAAAGGGGCACATACATCCAAAGAAGGGTGAGCAGGAGAGAATGTCAAAGGGCCAAGAAGATAGCTCAGATGGCTGTTGTCAGGATTTGCACATGGGAAGCCCAGGTCCCATGCTCTGCACCACATGGTCCCTAAGCTCCACAGGGAGGAGGGGAGGGAGGGGAAGGGAGAGGAAGGGGAAGGAGAAGGGGAGGGGAAGGGGAGGAAGGGGAGGGTGTGGGAAGGGGAGGGGAGAAGAGGGGGAAGGGGAAGAGGAAGGGAAGGAAGGGGAGGGGAGGGAAGTGTTACAACAGGTAACGCACTTGCCTTGCATGTGGCTGACCTGGATTGGATCTTAGGCACTTTATATGGTACCCGGATTATGGTCAGGAGTGACCTCTGAGCACAGAGCCAGGAGTAAGCTCTGAGCAGTGCCAGGTGTGGCCCCCAAATTTAAACAAAACATTTTCTAAAACATTTTTTTTAAATGAGAAAGAAAGGAAACATCAAGATGTCTAGATGGAATATTTAATTTCCAAATAATACACTAAAACAGAACCATATTTGCAGAAGGAATTTGCGGGTGAATTAATTCACCTTTTTTTAAACAATTAAATAATAATAAAACTTTGATCTTATAAATGAGTGCTCTTTTCCTCAGATAAATACACAGTCTGCTCTATGCCACACCAAGACTAGTTTTCCTGGTTTTGTTTTGGATGTTTTGCAGCCATCAGAAAAGCCATATGGGGTGCCAGGGATTGAACCCTAGTTGGCTGCATGCAAAGTAAGTACCCTATCCACTATCTCTCTAGTCCCAAGTCTGCTGCTTTGAATAAAGTGGAATAAAGTGCTCAAGCTACACAAATCAGAATCAGTATTTCTTTGAACACGTAAGGTCTGAATAAATGACAATGTTGATTGAAAATTCCACCGCGGCCTACGTTCAGTACACACCATAGGGCAAGCCGCTGTCTGTCAACGTAATCAAATCCTTGTATGATGCAATTTGGGGCAACATGGGGGTCCAGCATCCACTGCAAAGCCATCCCCAGGGACTCACAGAGTTCACGCTGCATCAGATGTGTTATCAAGCATCGTCTCACAAGAAAACCTATTCATGAAATCACATAATCCTGACAAAAACAAGACTAAGATTTTTTGCTCTAGCAGAGTTCCTACCTGCTAGTAATTTGGATGTGGGATTTCTCCCCACCACACCAGCTTGCTTTAATTTTTTCTTTTTCTTCTTCTTTTGCTTGTTATTTGGGTCTCATCTGGCTCTGCTCAGAGGTTACTCCAGCTTGGTGCACTGAGGTTCATTCTTATTTATTTTTGCTTTTTTGGGTCACACCCAGCGATGTACAGGGGTTACTACTGGCTCTGCACTCAGCAATTAAATTACCCCTGGCGGTGCTCAGGGATGGGATGCTGGGAATTGAACCCGGGTCGGCCGTGTGCAAGGCAAATGCCTGACCCGCTGTGCTATTTCTCCAGCCCCGCACTGAGATTCACGTGGGGCCAGGAAGTGAACTCTGAACCTCACCCACGCAAGGCAAGGCTCTACCACTGAGCTACATCCCTGGTCTCTACCTTTAATTTGAGGGGGAAAGTTCTAATGAGTTTGCCCGTTTCACCTCTTGCTAAAATACTAATGATATTGCTCAATCATTTGAAAAAAAATATTATTTGGGAGTGTGAGGTCACACTCAGCTATGCTCCGTTGACCAAATATGGAACCAGGGATCAAACTGGGATTGGTCACATGCAAGCACCAGAACCCCCTGTACTATCTCTCTACCCTCAATCATATTTTTCTAATTGATTTCATTCTTTTTTTCCCCCATCATTTCCTGTGTTTCAACTATATTCCTTCCCAACATAAAGAATGCTGAATTGGGCAGCACTATTCAAATAAATAGTGGAGGCTTGGTTACTTTCTACCAGGCTTTCATCTTCCCCTCCGATCTGTGTAACTCAATGTCCACCACCATAAATGGTGGAGGTCTAGTTACTTTCTACCAAGCTTCATCCTTCTCCCCTATCTGCGGTCAAGCACACATTTCAATGACATGTGCACTTTCTGGAACCACAGTGACAAGGACTGAGGCTGTCTTCCAGAGCCTTCATTACCCTAAATATTAAGTACACTCTGGTTTCTTCTAGAACTGGGTACAACTGAAACATACTCTAAAAATAACCCCTTTCACCTCTCCCTTCCCGAGAAGTCAAAATAGCTCATTATTTTTCCTATACCACCCACTCCTCTTTAAAAGATGTTTTTTTAAAATTTGCAATATCCAAGGGAATATTCAAGGACGATCTGGGGTGATTCTTTTTACTACCAGATCAAACATGATAAATGAAGTCAATTAAGACATATTAACTTTGTGTTGAGTATCAAGTGTCTTCTAATCCTCTGCTTTTCCAATTAACTTAAGCATCTCATACAGTAAGTTAAAAAGGAAAAACTCCATAAAAATTTACCATTGGCTTTAAAACCATCAAGTTTGGGAAATTTTTTTAAAAATTGGGATGATGGGGGTGGGGGGAACACTGTTTCCTAGTCTGTGTTAAACAAGAACTGATTTGGACTATTTGCCTATTTTAACCAAGAGTAAACCTCAGACTTAAGTCTCTATATAAGACTTATTAGCAAGACCCATGCACACAGTCTCATTAGTTTTCAAGTACAGTCTAAAAAGGATCACTTAAATGACTCATAAGATTCAATTAACAAGATAATTGATTTATCTGCTCC